GTTAGTGACTGGGAGTTACCATTTGAACTGCATCGACTGAGTATGGTTACAAACTCGTGTCATGAATTTCTCTCCAGGCAGGATGGGGAGCTAGTGAATGGAGTGACTTGTGCAACCAGTGCCTTCCCATTTCAGGGAACAGAAAGATATGCATCCAGATTTAACTTGGGCAGATGTTAAGACATTTGATAGAAATAAATTGTGGTGCAGTGGGATTTCTTGTTTTGTCCTTTTAAAGAAAAGGGGTGGCGTTTGCTGAGGGACGGGGGGCAAAAATCCCAATCTCATCTTTATTAGTCATAATTTTCTTCAAATGTGAATAACGTTTGCAATAATATTTATATCTTTGTTCAGCTCTGCACTTCAGATGATGTGGCCCAGGGCACTGAGTGGTATCCTCTGGGTATCTTCTTGGGACAGGTGTGGCTACATATGCTGCAGATTGCTCTGTATGGAGGGGGACGGGACTGGTCTGCTCACACGTGGGTTTTGTTCTGTTTTTAAAACTTCTCCCCCCCCCTTTTTTTTTGAAGGGATAGTTCCCTTTTGTTTTTAAGCATTTAAAAGCCTTTTTTGCATATACCTGTCACAGTACTCAGCACAACCAACATTTTTTTCTCTGAATGTATATAGCTCCTATTACAGAACTAATGTGTTTGGACCCCCTTGAGAAGGGACCCACTTGGAAAAATGAGTCACAGTTTATTTCCAAACCTTGAAGTGATGGGTATATGATTTTTTTTTCCCTCTGAATTTTTGAAACCATTTGTCAGAGAAGATAAGCTTCAGCCTTGGTTAAAAAGAAGCAATCATGCGGCAAAACAGTTTAGCAGTTCAAGCGAGGGCCAGAGAAACTACAACCCATATGAAAGGTCAGGTGTACCATTCTCTACCTTTTTTTTTTTTTTTAGTTCAGTCATTCTTTTACTTCTTTCTGGAAGTAGTTGGTAATGCAGAGTTTGGTGATGTGTAGTGTCCTAAAATAGACTTCCGCATTTCAAAAATACAGCTGTTAAGTAGAGCAATTAGTGATTATGTATTGGGTTGTTTTTAAGATAATTCAGATGTTTTTCTGTAAGGCTATGTCCTGGTTTCGGCTGGAATAGAGTTAATTATCTTCCTAGTAGCTGGTATAGTGCTGTATTTTGGATTTAGTATGAGAATAATGTTGATAACACACTGATGTTTTAGTTGTTGCTGAGCAGTGCTTACACTAAGTCAAGGACTTTTCAGCTTCTCATGCTCTACTGAGAAGGCTGGAGATGCACAAGAAGCTGGGGGGGGGGGGGCCAGCCAGGGAAGCGCACCCAAACCGGCCCAAGGACAGCTGACCCAAACTGGCCAAAGGGATATTCCATATCACATGACGTCATGCTCAGCATATAAAGCTGGGGCAAAGCTCTGTCCCAGGCTGCTGCTCAGGGACCGTCTGGGCATCGGTCAGCAGGTGGTGAGCAACTGCATCATGCAGCACTTGCTTTGTATATTCTTTTATCATTATTATTATTTCGATTTTATTTTATTTCAATTATTAAACTGTTCTTATCTCAACCCATGAGGTTTTTTTTTCACTTTTACTGTTCTGAGTCTCTCGTCCATCCCACCGGAGGGGGAGTGAGCAAGCGGCTGTGTGGTGCACAGTTGCTGGCTGGGGTTAAACCATGACAGCCTATTACCAAGGTTATAATTGTTCTTGTCTCATATTGTCTTTATTTCAGGAAAACATTAGTGAGCGAAATTTATAGCAGAAACTAGAACTTACTCATAATCTAGTATAGTGAAATGGAGACTATATAGCATCAGGATAGTTTTGAGCAAAAGAGAATCTCGGTCTCTTTCCTGTGCTAGTAATTAACTCTCCTGCTTCAGCTGAAGTCCTGTTTCACATGATAGTTTTCTCATCTGTGTATGTTATTATAATAGAAATAATACTTAAAATTTTCAGACAAAAGATGATGAGTAAATTATCGTAATTACCAGATTTCTTGGCTGCCTAATACTAGGTTCAGGGACGTTAGTACTTACGTGAATGGAAATGGACTTCAGTGCAGCAGTACTGAATACGCACATGAACAGCTGGCGTAGCAGGAGGTCATGTTTGCATGGGTCCATGGATTTTGTAGCTGGCCTCACGGTATCTGTGTGAACGTTGACTTTTTTTGTTCCATGAACTTCCAGAACTTCCACACCCCCATGTAGATTTAGTTCTTTCATTTCTATTATGAAAATAAACTTGGGGAAATAAGGATTTGGTGTAGAGGGATGGGTATTTTAAAAAAGGATCCTTGAGCATGTGAAGAACGCAGGAGGAGAAACACAGTGTATGCAGGGCAGCCCTGACAGCTGGTGGGAGGGCTTAATGAGTGAGGGGCCAAGGGTCCTGCATGCCCAAGGCAGCATGGCAACCAGATCCAGAATAATGCTGTCGAGTCCAGGATTAGAGGTGTAATGACCACATAGCTATCTTGAGAGCCAAGAGGGTCTCTTCTAGGGCTGGAACTGCCTGGAAGAGTGTGCTTCATGTGTTCTTGCCTATGGCTGCTGCCAGTTGCCAGTTTTCAGGTTTTGGTCTGAGCCAGTATCTGTTGAATGGTGTATCAAAGTTGAATGCAGGTTTTCCACCCAGCATGTTTGAATGCAAGAGCTCTGAATTAAAATGAACCGCTTGCCCTTTTAAGGGTTGAAAGCCAGTGCTTTAAGTGTCTGTGAAGAAACTAAAGGCTGCGTGAGAACATCTCAGAATCAAGGTTTAAAGAAATAATCTGGAAAAAGTAGCAGTTAGGTCTTACTCAAAAGCCATCAGTAGCTCTCCTTTTCCAGAATGGAGGTTGCTTTTTTAAATGCCCTGTAACCTCACCAACTTAATCTTTCTCTTCACCCTCTTTTCTTCTGCTGTTCATTATTCTGTCCCCATTGTAAGCCCAAATGCCTCTGTCCCAGAGAGCATCTCTTGCTAATATAACAGTTGCGTAGTGTTAGATTTGTTGTGTTGGGTCTGGTCATTTGCTTGGTATTGCTCATGAAGCTGGCAAAATTAGTGGGAATTTACTCCATTATGCCTCTTGCTATTTTATGTTACGCAGATGTAGGTAAGGCAAAGTGAAAGGAATGGGAGTTTTGGGTGTCCCTTATGCCTTCTACCTTGTCAGAGGTTCTCGTTGACTCTGCTCCTCTCCAGAAAATGCAGTAGATGGAAATTAAAATGGATAATTTTTTCCTGCCTTTGTGGTTGTGGTTGTCTTGTGCTTTCTTTTTTCTGCTTCATTCTGTTCTGTTCTTCCTTCATCTCCACAAAGGAAAGCCTTCACAAAGCTCCAGAAATGAGTGATGCTCACATGCTGCGTGGGCTGTGCCAGCATGGGTCTACCTTTTATTTAGTCCCATGTCCCTGAATTCTGAGGCTGAGGAACCACTGCCGTAAAATACTGAAGGTCAATGTGACATTGACAGTGTCTTTGCCATGGATTATTTAATTCGGTTCTGGGTGATGGCTGACAATGCTACAGGTTGGGTATGGCTCCTGGCCAGTTTTGCCTTCTTTGTGGGGCAAAGTAAAATGATTTAGCTGGATGTAGTCAGTAGTTGTCTGAGGCATGGGTTTGCCAAGTATTAAAAAGGGGACACGAGTTAATAAAGAGTGAGGGCCAGACTGGTAATGATATGAAAGTGTGAAAAGATGCAGAAAATGAAACTATTATTTGGCATGTATATGTATCCTTAGGCAACTAAGTGCCCATACAGATTTATTCCCATTTCACTGAATTTGTTGTTAGTGTTAGTCAGCGGAGGTCAATGTCTTTGTTGCCTGAGTTAACAGTAGGGCTTTTTTGTAGCATTCTGTACTTCAGCTGAGGAGGCAGTGACAGAAATCTTCTAGTGATGTGCCGGTGTGTTGCACGTATTTGGGCTGTTAGAACGATGGTTCATCGCCTTGATAATGAACAGAATCCAGTTGGTTTGAGGTAGGTATTTTTAACTTCAAGTGCTTTTAAGAAAGGAAGACATGAACAGCACCTGCTAATGAACAGTTATTTCAGAGTTCTTCTTATTCAAAATTACATTGTTATTTTGCTATACAGTTAATGGTAATGGGGTTGTATATTTTATTATTCATCAACAAGATAGCTACATGTCTTCCAGCGGTATGCTGTTAATGTGCCAAGCAAATGGCACGGTTGCTTTGTTCTTTCGTTCTCTCAAGAGAGGATATTGTGTTTTGTGGTATAGCATTTTGTTCTGATGGATGTAGAAATGGGTGTGCACCCTGCACTCGCTGGTACTGGCAAAGGCAAGAACGAAGAACATTTTGCCCTTGGAGTGAAAAGTGGTGATGTCTGTGGGAGGTGTTGTTGCAGGGGGGTTTCTTGTCACAGTCTTGCACCGATCTCAGTAAAGCTGTACCAGTTGCACATGGCAGCTTGCCCTTCACCACAGGCAGCTGCACCGCACTAGGGAACAGAGCTGTGGACTTCAGGTGACCTTCTCAGCAGCTTGGATTGAGGCAGTTTGAAGGTAGAGGTAATGATCTAAGAGAGAGAGCACTTGCATTGATGCGTTTGGGGCCTGTACTTAGTATTGTGAAGTTTTTTGTGAAACGCTTCCTGTGCCAAGTCTGCCAGAGCCATATCCAGAGTTCATGTTTGATACCTGAACGTCAATGCTTTCTCTTTAAAAGTCATCTTCATAAATACTTTGGTAGTTTGCAAGTCTTTGTTTAATTGTTTCTTTATTGAACACCCGCACCAAAAATGTTTTCCAAATCAAGACTCCTATTTGTTATTTTTCTTGTGTGTTTTGAGTTTGGTGGGGGGTTGGTTTTTTTTGTTTGTTTGTTTTGTTTTTATTTTTTTTAATCCCTTCCCTCGTTTTCTACCTTCCTCTACCCGCAAAGACTGACAGTGGCTCCCTCCTGCTTCCCAGTTTTCAATTCCACCCTGATTAACTTTGAGTACAGTTTGGAAAACGTATTTTATTCTTCTTCCATTCCTATTCTGTTGCAGATTTTGACTTGAACTATTTTTGGCATTGGAGCAAGTTTACAGACTACGTGCAGTGCGTCCTGACCTTCACCGGTGTGACTGGTTACGTGACTTACCTCTGGCTTGACTCAACTCTGTTTGTGGAAACGCTGGGCTTCCTTGCAGTGTTCACCGAGGCTATGTTAGGCGTTCCCCAGCTCTACCGTAACTACCAGAATAGGTCTACAGAAGGAATGAGGTATGGTGTTTGTCTTACGTAAAACAAGTAAGTGTGTGCGTGCGCATGTAGGTAAATCTTTGTGTAGTGTGGGAATGCTTTTCTAGGTAGGGCAATGTCATCCTTCTAAATTTTACTTGAAAATAAAACAGCTGTTGGAGTAGATTCGCTGTCAGTAGGAGCTGGTGCAGAACTGCTGAAGGCAGTGGAAGCTCCATTACACCTCTGAGGTCTTACCCATTGTCCAAGTCCAGCTGGACAGTTCCAAGGTGAAACGTGTTTTATTAAAATAAACATGTAAAACTATGCTGTTAGCAACATATTGTAGTTCAGCTCAAGCTGGTAATTAGAAATGGACTAAAGAGATCTTGCATATCCAGAGTAATAAAGAGGAAGAAAATATTCTGAGCCTGCAGCAAATAACTCTGTCAGTCTAACTCACATATTAGCTTATCACTTTTTCTCACATATCTACTCATCACTTTTTCGTAATACATTATTATGTATGTAGCAAATGACATCAGTATTTATTTATGTGTAAAAGCTTGTAACTGACAGTTAAAAAAGCTCAAATGAGATGTTTGTAGTCATGACTGGAAACCCTCTGTAAACAAGTGTGGGACAGAAGACTTTAATCCTCTGACCACTGTTGGGGCGTTAAACTAGATTATCTTTTCATGCTGTTTACTGGATATCTCAATCATAACACTAAGATTTCCATATTGCAAAGGCAACTTGTAAAGCTTTTTAAGAGAGAAAATGTTCATTATGGTGCATCAGTGCACCAGTCTGTAGAAACAGTACAGCAGCGAATTCAGTTCACAGAGTGCTGTGATCATTTGTGACGCTAACTGTCTTCTCTTTCATTGTTTTGAAATGACTTCTCTTTCATTGCTTTTAAACTTTCTGGGATAATTTTTACTTTGGTCAAAACAAAAAAAAAACCAACCCTCCTGACCACCCCCAAACCAAAGCAATTCTGTCCTTTGTCTGTTGACATTGTTCCCTTTACTTTTTTGGCTTGGAGACACTTCTACTAGCTACTTTAAGTTCTTTTCTAGCTTGAAATGTTGTTGAGGGAATGTTCAGAAATTTCCTTTGATGCTTAAAGCATTTTTTGATTGGGAGCCCCTTTGGTACAGAGTGAGTCAGGATTTACTTCCAAAATATTGAGGTATTTTTCATGCACACACTGCCTTTGAAAATTCTGTACGTGTGATATCCAGAAGGCAATTTACCTACTAGATGTTCTTTATGCTCTGGTCTGGCTTTTCCCTTTATGTTTTTTATCTGTGAATCATAATGCCGTAACGCCACATTATGATAGCTGCTGCCAGATAGTGTTTTGCTTTTCCTTAGCTCCTCTCTGGGGACCCGAGTTTCAGTTTTCCAATTTCCTGTATATGCTATTTAGCAAAAGGAGAAAAAATCCCCTTTGTGCTTCACAACAACACTTTCTTTGTAAAGCATTAAGCACAGAATTGCAGGATTCTCATCTGAAACTGCTTGGCAAGAGCGCGATGTGTTTAGTCAAGAGAAAATAGAATAAAAGCTCTTGTTCCCTTGCCATCAAACAGAACCAGGTCCAGAATAGCCACCCTCCTTATTGTCGGTGCCCACAGGTTTTCCAGAATGCATTCCCCTCTCTGGTTCTACTCTTGAAGCAGTACTTTGCGTGGCACTGGACATCGATGGGTCTGGGGACTGATGAGACAATATACAGCTTATGCTGCTTTACTGCAGTTGGAGTATGTTCATGCAGATGCACATGTTAGTACTCTTTCTTTTTTCAGGTTCTGTTGCAGTTTTATATATGTTGCAAGTACCACGTATACTTTATAGCACCATGCAATCCTGAGGTGACTTGATGGTCTGTCTCTAAGCATTATCGGGCTGTTCCTACTGTGAGTGACTTCTGCTAGTGTATTACCTTCTGTTGAAGGGGCTGTTGGAAATACTCCTCTGAACTTCCCTTCCTGTGCCTGCTTCTCTGTCTAAAAGCACGTCAGAGAAGAGACCGCAGTCCTGGAAGCACTGAAGGGAGCCTGTAACAGTCCGGCCAGGCTGAGTTCTCATAGGACTAAGTTTATCAATTTGCACGGGTATTTACCAGATGGGGACTAGTTGATGTCCACTGCTCTGTGCAGTTATTTACTGTTCAGTGCAGAATTAACATGCATGTGGATGGTTACGCTGTCAGAAACAGTTGAACTGGTGATCCTCTGCCCATCAGCTGGGCCATAATGGCTGGCTGACAGACATGCTCTTAGCAAGCCTCAGTGGCAAAGTAAAATAGACGAGTTTCAAGTGTCTTTGTGGCTTTAAGCTCAATGGGGAGAGCAGTGAGAACTAAGCTGTTCTATGTAGTGACCTTTTGGTCAATTATCACATCCTGATTGGAGGCGGTAACTTCTTAAACCACAGTAGCTCTGTCACTTGTGGTGCATGAGTGGAGTCCATGTCCTTGACAAACATGACAGCCTTTGCTACTGCCAGAGAAGGTGTTGTTTGGAGGTCCTCATGGCTTGGCTGAGAAAAGCAGCAATATGCATCTGTCTCTGAATTGGGGCAGAATGGGACACAGCAGCCGAGTTGTTAAGTCTGTTTCTACTTTAGCAAATAATTCCTTTCCTAAACGTAAACTGACAAAATAGAAATGGAGAATAAGGTTACAGTATGTGGCCACATCTGATCAGGGCATCCTGCCAGACTCCTCAAACATTGTCTTGTTTCTGAAAAAAGGCAGCAAAAACCCCCAAACCTACAGCTCCCCCGCCCCACCACCCCTTTCTGTTTAAACAAGAAGTTGAGGATATCTCATGCTTGACGTAGCAGACATTTCCTGATTATCAAACTTGGAAACTGGGGGCCATGAGAGAGGTGAATGGCACAGGTGGCTGTGGTGGCAGGCAGGATACCCTTTGGGAGTCTGTTGTGAAAAGGGTCCCATCATCTCACCTCTGTATTTCAGTCTGCTGCTGCCTGAAAAGTCCCCTGCTGAAGGTGTGCTCAGTGTCTGAGGTAAACATCCAGAGGACATCTGCAGCTGAGTCAGTTATGTTTATTGTAACAAGGCATGGCTGGAGTGAAAGAATCACAGTTATGTGCATTGTAGTACTCCTGAGAATGAGTCTTCCAGTTCTTTGATATCTCTGTTCTGCTGGATATAGCTCCTCACTTCTTATTTTTATTGATGTCTTCATTTCTCCCTATTTCTCTAATTTTCCTTCTTTTTGTAGCAATATCAGTACTAGGTCCTATCCTCTCTCTGAGAGAGCAGAGACCAAAGGAGAAGCTGGAAAGAGATGGAAACAATAAAAGCAGAAAGGAGATGCATGCTGAGTAACAGTTTTGTGGAGGGAAGATAGTGTAGTATGTCCTGGTGGGCTGATGATTGAAGGGTGGAAATTTTCCCATAATTAAGGAAACCGAAATAAGCCAGTCAAAGGAACAGAAATTTTCATTATCTTCTCTTTGGCTATTCATCTGATTACTTTTGGAATTAGTACTTTCTAGAAACTTAGAGCTCTGTTCACATGTTTAAGTACTTTTGAATAGTTGCAAACCTAAATAGTACAGTCATAGTTCTATTAATTATGGTACTAACCTTGACAGAAGTGCTTTTTAAATGAACCATGGTACAAATTAATACCTATCAAGGAAATAATCACTTAATTTAATCTCCATTCAGTTCAAGAACTAAACTAGTTCTGTCCTGTCACCTAGTAAAAGAGTAATTTAATGACATTAATTGTTATCGAGATGGATTAGAATCATGAGTATGCTTAGGTTTGCATCGGTTATATAAAGGAGGAAAGCAACCTCAAAAGAGCTTTGGAATATAGGAGGCATCCTGTTAGATGGGAAAAAAGCATTATGAGGTTAAAAGATTGCTCATCACTTTTAATTTTTTTTTATATTATGTGGTAAAATATTTCAAGATCTTGATGACAAAAACCATACGGACAAGAACTTCCTCTGTCATTTATCTTTGTGTCCCCACTCCTCCTAAGATACTTGCCTCCCAGTCGCTTTCCCCTGCTGATAAACTACAGTCACGAGAAAGGCTGGTGTTCGGCGTGAGGCAGCGGAGGTGAAGGGAAGGTTGGCTCTGGATCTGGCAGCAGCACTGCTGCACACAGAGGTAGGGACCTGCTGGTCAGTTCACTGGGAGAATCGCATCCTTGCGGGGACGACAGTTTTTGTGGAGCTCCTGCAGGGAGGAGGCATGTGCTTTTGCGCAGGGGTGGGGAGAACCTCATCTCTGTGGGAGACACAGGCTCATGCAGGCACTGGTGGTGTTATGTACCCTTCATGATCCCATCAGACCTCCCTCCACCAAAGGGGGAGGGTGGAGGGTGTTCCTCTGTGTGTCTGTGACAAAGCTGTAGGTGTGCTGTCCTGCACGGGGATGTGTTAACCTTGGGACTGCACAAGGGTGGATTTGCTCCCTGTTATATTGCATTCCTATCTGCTGCCCTGCCCTGCCCTGCTCCAGAAAAAAATAACTGCCCTTTGTTGAAGTTTTTCACAAAAGTTCGTCAAAATCACCTGGCAGTGACCCCTTTTACTGTCAGCTGCTGCTCCCCATGGAGCAACGGTTTCTTTTCAGGCAGTGCTTGGAGCTCAGAGCCGCTGGATGGCAGAATCTCCCCAGGTCCAAGAAGGAGGTCTGGCAGTAGGACTGAGCTGGGCTGTATTATCTTGAAGTTTCAGAAGCCACACTCAAGGTGATCCTGAAATGTGCCCATCAATGGTTAGCTTGGAAGCATGTGGGTCCAAAAAGCAAGGTCCTCTGGCCGTGGTTATTGAGCTCCTGGTGTGCGCTGTTGTCTCTTCCCCGGCTGCACGCTGGGCACGAGGCAGCAGGTGCTGTGCCTGGCTCCGGGCTGCATGCGCAGTGCAAGGTCAGAGGGACGGAGCTGGGAAAGGGCTGTGTCGTCCCTCTGTGAGCTGTTTCCCAGGTCTCTCTTCTAGCCTGTGGCCAGTTTTCCCTCTGCTTGAAAGGAACCTCCTTTCTG